AAGCGCCCGGTTCAGCGGCTACTGCCCAGAGCGAAGCGGAGGCCACACCATGATGCCCATGACGGAGAGTTTCCAAACATTGGCACAAGGTATCATTGTACAGGGTAAATTTGCAGATGCTCCCATTGGCGGGATTAATCCGGCCACTTCATGCACGACTGAGAGGTGTCCGTGGATCTTCCACACCGGCCTTATGAACGGAACCTCAGTTGAGAAATCCACATTTTTGTACGGTACTGTCTATAAAGGGATTGACCACACCGAAGCCGTTCCCGGCATGTATCAGAAGTTTCAACCACACATGGCGCCTGTTGCCTTTTTGAAACCCGAGGACAATGTCATCCCGAAAATGTTGAAAAATGGATTCTGGCTGACTGATTTGCGAGATCGCGAATACACAACGTGGGTATGTGAGTACTATGATTTTACTGCTTCTGAACAGGGAACGGCACCTCCAACGGATGAGAATGGCTATATTGTTAGTCCAGGTACGATTGTCGGGTTTCCGTGGTGGGCTGGACTTATCATTGGTATTGTTGTCGTTATCATTGTGGTTGTCATTCTTATTATATGCTGCTGCTGTTGCAAGAAACGCAAAGAGAAGTTGCAAGAGGAAGAGATTGCAGAGGATACGAGAATGGAAGATAATCTCAGTCGGATTCCCACACAATCACAGCTCGGCTTTGGTCGCTCTCGTAGTAGCGCGTACGTTGGAAATGACGGTGGTGACTTTCAGGGCAGTGGGCCTACTGGTGTTGGGCGGAATGGCAGTGTTTACAATAACAACAATTATGTTGAGAATGATGCTATTGACGGTGGGAATCCCCTTGAGGGTCAGTACCCTGCCGAAGATTATCAATACAACAACAATTACCAGGGTGGATATCCTCCTGGTGGCTATGTTCCTCAGGGTGGATATCCGGCAAACTATGGTTACCCTCCTCAAGCTGGCTACTAGATCTTTTTTTATGTGTGTTCTTATCAGGAACGAATATCAAAGCCAAACCACAATGTTATTGAGGTGAGAAAAGAATAACCTGTACCTTGTTTTTACTTGTACCCTCTTCATACTCGTATGTGGTGGGGCAAATATTTTGTTTACTATATAACGTAGTGGAAAAAAATTATATAGAACCTATTTCTTTCATTGTTATTATGCTAGTAACTATTTGTGTTTATTTTTTAATAAATGGTAAAGAAAGAAAATATACAGAAGTGCCATTACTTAGGGTATTACTGTTAGTGATAATATTGGGAACTGATGTGGGTTCATTTGTGTGTCGTAAAGAGAAAAATATTTTTTCTAATATATTCCTCTTTTTTTATTTTGTGTCTATTTTTAAAGGAAATGTAGAGTTTCAACATTGTTTCAACCCTTCCCGTTTTATTTCGTTTGTTATGTGCACAGTTACTATTATTGATGGCAAAAATAATGGGGGTTTTCATTGTTCTTTTGATTCCTATATTTCCATGAGTTGTTTTTCTTTTTCTTTTGGTTCCATGACCCTTCTT